CCCCTGTACAACGAGAAAAGGAAACTTGGCAGCCTTCGGGATGTCATTCTCCCTGCTTGTCAATGATTCGGCGCCATGTGACACTTTTCCTTCATACAGCCAACGGTGCCTTTGCTTCGTTGTCACCAGCCACAAGTGCAACTTAGCCATTTCCTTTTGGGGGCAACATCTGCTGCTAGTGATAAGCATGGTATGTGGTCTCCTATCTTCTTCCCAGAAAGTGGTATTCATTTGTCACGACTACATAGGAACGAAAGAAGAGTGATCGAACTTCTGGACTGTGAGTAAACACTCCACCAACTGAGCAACCCTGATTGTTGGTGGGTGACCTCCAATATCTGTGCAGACACTTCATGACTGAATAAATTGAGGTCGCTAACAAAGGAACATATTGTTTGTCTGTGTTTATCAGAAACATATTAAAGACCTTTTCACTGATGGCCTTTCTGCCAGGTATTCATTGTGTAGAGAAATATACAATGTTACGTTACATCAACGGCAACACATACCTGTACATGCTAAACTCAGCCGACTGATATTCAATGACAGGAGAATCTGACTCTCAGAACTTTCGATGCTAGGTGTTCATAACAAGCAGTCTGTTGTTTAAAAACCATAACTTCAGGCCGTTATCGCTAAAGTCGCTAAAATCGTTCTTTCCAATCACGCCTTTTCATCTTTCAGTGTCTGTTGTGACGTGCGCATCGAAATTACCCATCAGAATGATGGATCCCGTAGTCGACACTACTTACAAAGCCCATTCTACTTCCTTCAGAGAAACTCACGTTTACCTTTTGAATTCATAAACAGACATGCAACAAGTTAAAGCTTTAGCCTGCTGTTTTACCATACCACCTTTTTTTTAGTCGGATGATTGTCACTCTTCGGCTTAGAGGCTTCCAAACACTGTGACCGAGATGGGTTCTATCAGAACCATAACATTGGCCTAAGAGCGTATCATGACGTCGACACCTGAGTAGAGTAGCTTCCACCCGCAGAGGCTCAGAATTCTAGAACAATGGCGTTTCGTTGATGAATGTTTGCCTAATCAGTGCCTTCCACCTCATTAACTAGGTTCTACTCTTTCTCTGAACGAGGAAATGTTTCAATTTATGACTGTGAGCTGTCACTGTCGTCATCGTTTCCTTGGGAATCTGATCTGACGTGCTGCAATGGCACTGCGCTCTGTACCTCTTCTGTTCAAAACAGGTAGCGATTCCATCATTGATTGCTATTTCCGTCGTTTTCATGTCGATCTACAGCACCCGTCGCCATTCTGCTATGCACCCAACTGCCAGAAGCAGGGCCTACTTGCCGACTTTTCGCTATCAATCTCATTTCATCAGCAGCCTGTGTGACTGTTGGCTACCGAGTCGGCATAATGCTCGATGACGTCAATACCACGAAGAGCAGATGGCTGAGATTTGTGGAAGATCCTTCCACCACCTGGAAACATCCTTTTTCTTCTAGGCTAGGGACCGATAACGACCAAAGCAGCAAATTTTAAATTCATTTCTTTAGGTGACAATAATCCACTTGGCACTATGCAATTCAAAGCTTCAGCTGCACTTAATGGAGGGGGTGGGAACTTTTACACCATCAGATAACGCCATCTAGTGCTTGATTATCGTTGAAAGGAAGTTATAATAAACAGCAGAGGTATCGTACGTCTTTTCTGCGCTAAAGTGAAAGAACAATACAAATACAATAAAAATTACAGCAACTGCAAAAGTATACACGTGATATGCAAAAAAAGGCTCCTGCAAATGTGACTTTAAAATACAAGTACACGAAGCAGCATCAAATGCACGAATTTTATAGCGCTGGAGAATAGCGATTGCTAACTGCTGCAAGACCGTCCGGATCAATAAGAAATTTCGCCAGTACCACTGCTCGAAATTCACAGGCATCATTACTCGAATGCAGCGGAGCGTTCCAAGCCCATCTCTGAAATGTGCATCGCTTCTCGTTGGACGACGCGCTACCATGATTAATTACCTTCCCTAAAAATAAAGAAATTAGCGAATAAAGCAAGGTGAAATATAACATTAGGCGTGTTTTACCGAGTATCCGGATCGCCTTCGCAAGCGTCATTATCGTCGACAAAAAAATCAGGCGGAACATCTTGAAACTGAACGCTTGGCGATGAGGCCACATGGCGGATATTTTCTAGTACGTACTGTCGAAGGCAGTTAAGGTACTGAAATCGGAAACAAGATTTATGCACGGCAAAAACTAAAACGAGAGAATCGATTAACTCTACGTCCAGGAATCCAGTGGGTCTGGCGCGTCCCCGAAATGTTGATAGGCAAACCACCCCCAGATATCGAGGTCATCCGTGAAGAACAAGCAGCCCTGGACAGGCAACGTGGAATGGGACGTGCTAGCGAAGCCGTTTTGGTGCAGACCGCTGGCTGGTATTAGCGGTTGGTCCTGCGGTCGCCGCACTGGATCTGTATAACTGGACAGTGGTCAGCTGTATCAATTGCGTGATTCAGCCTATCATGATATATATCAATGGGTAGCTGTCTGTGAGTGTCGTACAATGACGTTGCTAAACTAGTGAATTTTCAATTACAATTCCATTGTGATAACAATGCGATGTCCGTACTTTAGCACACAGGCAGCGGTCATGAATTTGAATCTGTCATTGGCAAATCATCATTTATAGCAATGATCTGACTTCGCCCTTCATATGCCTATCAACGTAATCTTCAAACGGGTACAATGTGAAACCGTTTTCAAATTATGAATATCAATTATTTTCATTTTATGATACCATCATGGTGGCCGCACGAAGTCCCTAAGTCAGCGAACTGTTGTTTGATCATGAGTCTGAGTTAAAATAATTGCACATGGCCATCTATATCAATTGCTTCATTTAATCCGTGACGTCCTACATCGCTCGAAAGCTAATTGTGAGCAGAAAATGACTTTCGCCATAAGAATCAATTTTAAAGTTGGCATCTTCGTCTGACGATTTTAATGTGATTATTACGCAAGCTCATTAAACCAGCATGGGTCAACAGCATTTGGACAACTTTTACAATTCATTTCGTAAACAACAGGACCCTTGTTTAAAATGTTAACCATAAAAAATGTTGTCTAGGGTGTTCGCTTTCCGCTGAATTTGACCTTACTTAGATGACGACATAAGACTATAAATAAATGCTTCTTAAAAGGTAAAGAGATATTGATATAGTTTATTTTTTTCTGTTCGTCTAATTTTTTTCCTATGTTCATCTTTCAGATCCATCGTTCTGGCTGGTATTTCTTTTTCACTACAATGCTTTAGTTATTTATTTGTCGATCGTGAATCAGATGTATCCTCTATACATTACTAATTTCGTGTAGAGAAGAAAACCAGCTATAGGTTCCAAAAGCTTCACTTAATCAATATAGCTTTCCAGGCTTCTAACCGTCTCTTTCTTTACCTGCATCTGCATGAACTAGTAATGTTTTACACAGTGAGCACTAGATGGCAAAAGTAGTAGGCAAACAGTAAACAAAACACAATTTTAGGCATTACTTGCTAATAAATAATATTTCGAATTATTCAGAGCCAAATGTATCTAAACTATGAAAACAGCGTACAACCTTTTGAAGTAATAATTATTCGTTATTTTCGCATGGAATTTGTTAATTCGACCTTACATCTTAAAAAATTCGATATATATCGAAATTTCCCATTAACTCAAATTTAAATCAATCAGTTTATTCTCTAATGCAGTTCATGCTCCAATTCAATGAAGTTTTTGCCACAGATAAGACAGATACTTTATTTAGGTTGCCATCGTTTCGACAACAGCTCCTTGTCATCACTGTTCTCCACTAAAATAATGCCTAATGACTGATATCAAAAATCTTGGTTATTCTGCTGCCTAAGCCCTGTTAGCCTCGGACGAAAATGACAAAAAACAACATATAAAATCAAGTAAATTTTTACCTCCTTTGAATTTTGATTTCCTTGACGTCTGGGCAACTCAGGACAAAGAGCAAAGTCAGGAGCGAAGAATTCCCAGTATTCTACAAGTAATCAATATGTAATGAGGCAAAGAAAAGCAGCATACATTACGCACCTGTAGTATCTGGAATGTCGTTTGGAATTTCCTGATCCAACAGCACGGAAGTTTCATATGTCCAGCAACGCGCAACATTACGAACCGTGTAACCGCCTCCACCAACGACCAGCATTGGAATGTTAAACTTCTTGACAAAGCGTACGCATTCACTAAACACATGAGCTAAATGACTGTCCGTGACAGCACACCTTCCTTCATGCATACCCATGACCTTTGAAGCTCAAATTGAAGCAACCAAGTCGGTCGAGCCCCAGTGAATCAGCACCACACTGCATGACAATGCACGTCGGCTGGTACCAGTCTATGACGGCCTTGACGACTGGTTGGAAGATCGAGTGGTAGCTTTGGTCATCGATTCCTTCTAACAACGGTACGTTAACAGCATAGTACTTGCCTGTATCAGCGCCGGTTTCATACATGTCACCTGAAAATTCATGGCTCAAACAAAACGTCTTCGAATGTGATCTCCTGCTCACCGGTGCCTGGAAAAAAGTAGCTTCCGAACTTATGAAAGGAGAGCGTCATGACTCGATCGGTCAAATAGAACGCCTCCTGCACACCGTCGCCGTGGTGAATGTCGATGTCGACGTACAACACTCGAGGGTGGTACCTGAAATTCCATTTGTCATAAACCACAACAATCAAAAGAGCAGCTGTCTTTCGTCTACTTCAGTAACTCCAACGTTGCGATAACGATGTCGTTGATGTAGCAGAATCCAGACGCCTCTGATTTTTTCGCATGGTGTAAACCGCCTGACCAATTTATGGCGATGTCACAGCGCTAGAATTACAGTGAAGACAAAATG